CAATTAGGCCATTTATGTACCGAGGATCACAAGTATTACAAAGGAGTAACAATCACAACAAAGAAGGAGGACATATGAGGACAATAGATGTTTGATAGGAAAGAAGGGGCAAACCACACCATAGCATCCGCCAACCACCTGCAACGCAAATGATGCTGTTTCATAACGCTGAAGATGATCTCGACGGATAATGTGAAACGGAGGCTCTCATGGTCTAGTGGTATGGTGCTCGCCTCTCATTCAATAGGTCCCGGATTCGAAACCTGATAGCGACGGAAATGTTCTTCTTTGAAAGGAATTCTCATATCATCTTTCCAACTGTGTAATAAAGTTCTGTCGTCTGCTTTTTGTCTCCGAGTAGACTTCGGCCGCCACCGGGCCAAAAATTCAAAATTAGTTGCTATTAAACTGAAAAAGCTTAATGTGTCCCGCGCGCTCATTATGACCGTTTGCAGTTGCGAGCGCCGTAAAACACTTACCAAAGGAAAAACTAGTGAAATAAAAAGTTAACTACGGTGTACAACATTTTCGACAATGCTATTCTACAAGGAAAGATAGATGGACGTTGTAGTAAAAGCATTCAGACTACACGAACCTGCAACCCCCCCCCCCCTTTCCATTTAAATACACCCACGATTTAAAAATTTATAAACAATGTACATAAATTTGATAGAATCTTTGCATTAATTAATAGCAATTTGGCATTTTCCGGTAGACATAGGTGTTTCTTTAGCCACATGCTGTATAAACAAAGGAAGTTGTAATACTTTTAAAGAAAAGTTTTAGTACGAGTTTTACGGTACATAAGTGCCGAAGATTAAAAGTGTTATAAGGGAGTAATAAACAAGAAACGAAGGAGGAGGGATCATCACGATAGACATTTGATCGGAAAGAAGGAGCAAACCACACACGCACCAGAGCACCCGCCAGCTACCCGTGCGTTGTAAAGCAATACGACTACGACGCAATTACTGTTATCGGAAGTCTCAACTTCAACGCACACTGACGGTTTAATAAGGTTAGACGAACACAAGCCAAATAGTCGTACCTTTCGGCACTAATATAACCTTATTGTGTTGCAAAAGCTGCAAAAAGTCTTATCATAATAATTACAATTTTAGCTCTCGACAGCTAGACATTGAAAATTCAACCATGGGCTTCCATTCCCACCTAGTCCTGCCCCTCCCCCCAAACTACACCCCTTCTCTCACATTTTGGTTCCGTTCTCAATTTCCGTTGGCTATGGTTTAATCCCGACGGTATCGTAATGAAACAGATCGAACTGGCTAGACTCGGTAATCCAGTTTTTAGAATTCGTAAGAAGAAGAAAGAAGAAGAAGAAGAAGAAGAAAGAGAAGAAGAAGAAGAAGAAGAAGAAGAAGAAGAAGAAGAAGAAGAAGAAGAAGAAGAAGAAGAAGAAGAAGAAGAAGAAGAAGAAGAAGAAGAAGAAGAAGAAGAAGAAGAAGAAGAAGAAGAAGAAGAAGAAGAAGAAGAGGAAGAAGAAGAAGAAGAAGAAGAGGAAGAAGAAGAATAACAACAAAAAGAAAAACAAGAAGAACAAAAAGAACAAGAAGAAGAACAACAAAACAAAAATAACAACAATAAAAACAACAGCAACAACAACAACAACAACAACAACAACAACATCAACGATAAAGTCAGCAGCACCAACAACAACAGCAACAGTACGGGTAAAGCGGACAATATCTAGCAGTTTACACCAAATTTTAAGGTTCTCTTATAAGATTTTACTTCCGAAAGCTGAACAAACGACTTTTTTTTCATATTTTTCGCCAAGTTTTTTAAATTGTTAAATCGAAAGCAGGATCGTTTACCTTTCATGTGTGGAAAAAATGTTTAAGTAAAACAGTGACTAGTCTTTTTTTTTAAGTAAGTGTTTTACCGCGCTTGCAACTGCGTAAGTTCATTGCGAGTGCGCGGGACACCTTAAACATTTTCAGTAGGTAGGAAATTTTGAGCTTTGCCCGGGTGTCGGCCGAAACCTACTCTTACCGATTTTAGACCACCAAGGGATCTTCAAAGTGCGCAACTTGCACTCGGGACCTCCAAGATTTTTCACCCTTGTCCGAGAAGGCTAGGTGTAGATCTTTCATACCAGAAGATCAGGGGTGTGGCTGAAAGACAGCAGTTAGGAGGAGCCAAGGAGTAGCAGTAGAACGCTGCAGAAAGAGCCAGGAGCCCAGAGGTGGGGGCAAATGAGGTGGGGTGGTGGGGGCAGAAAGTGGAGACAAAAGCAGACGACAGAACATTGCTAGAGAGCAGGAAAGGAGGTGAAAGGAGAACATTTTACAAAAGAAAAATTTTCCGTCGGTACCCGGATGTGAACCCGGGACTTTTGAATGATAGGCGAACACCTTAACCTCTAGGCCACGAGAGCCCCACGACTAGCCTTTAAGTAAATTAAAATTAAAATTTTGGAAGAACGCCTTTTTAAAAAAAAAGCTGACAAAAAGCCTCTTTATCTCGAAACTGTTGCGGATATTAAAAAGGCGTTTTATCGGCTTACGCGTGCAGGGTTACGTCTCAAACGTAAATCTAAAGGGTCCGACGTTTAAAAAAACGTTTTAGTAAGTTTTTACGACACTTGCAACACAATAAAGGCGTATTATAAGTGCCAAGGAGTAAAGGTGTTACAAGAGAATAACAAATGTAGAAAAGAAGGAGGAGGAGGATCAGGACGATATATTATGTTTGATAGGAAAGAAGGAGCAAGCCACAACCGAGCACCCGCCAACCACCCGCCACGCTGACGTTTGTGACGTGGTGTAATGATTTGTCTCTTCCCTTTATCGAAAAGGTGCTTGAGTTAAACTGTTTCTTACTACCTGTCCATTAACTCCCTCTTTCTACTGGTCTTTTTTTGTCCGTTAACTCCCACTTTTAACAGGCATTTAGTCCATTAACTCCATCTTTCTATGGGTATTTTGTCCACAAAAATCCCTCTTTTTACAAGTATTTTGTCCACTAACTCCCATTCTCTACAGATAGTATGTCCTTTAGTTCGCTCTTTCTACAGGTATTTTGTTTGTTTACTCCACCTTACTACATATATTTTGTCCACTAACTCCCACTTTCAACAGACATTTTGTCCATTGATTCCCTCTAACTACAGGTATTTTGTCCATTAACTCGCCCTTTCTGTAGGGAATTTAACGACCTCTTTATGCAAGCATTTTTATTCATTAACTTCCTCTTTACAGGTGCATTGTCAATCAACTCTTTCTTTCTGTCGGGGCGTGTCACTCACAACTGGGGTTAGTTCGGACAGGCTCGACCAGAGACACATCAGCTAATGAGTTACACTGTGTCATTGGAATAGCAAAAAAAATAACTGTTAGGCTTCAGGCGCTCGTCAAAATATTGGAATTGAAGAAACCAGCATTTTCCGCCGGTTTAGCAATTTTTATAATTTTAAAAATTTTGCTTAATACATTTTATGTATATTTTAGAACATTTCTGTGTGGATATTACCGAAAAAAGTTGATTAAAGGCACAACAAATGTTTATCTTAAATTTCCAAAGACCCTGAAGCTAAGGAAATCACCAAACTTTGGCGGTAGTTTTCTTGCTAATTTTGCCTTTGATAGCAGGCGACCCCAGCCTCTTTTAATAGCAACTATCTCGACTTCTATTCAAGACAGATAAGTATTTTTTTCATGAACAGCAGGACAAATGAACAAACTTTAAGATGAACCAATAACTTCACATGCCAAAACATTGACGAGCGCCTAATTCCACAACATGAGAGGTAATGCTAACGCTGGCCCTGTCGTTGTGAGTAGCTGGTGCGTGCTGTGGTGCGGCTTGCTCCTTCTTTCCTGTCAAGCATCTATCGTCCTCATTTCACCTCCTTTTAAAAATATATTTTTTACTCTCTTTTAAAATCTCTAATTTGCGGGACTAAAAGACCTAATAGTGTTGCAAGTGCCATAGCATTTTTTACTAAAAGAGAGTCTTGTCGTTGAGAATAACAAATGTTTTAAAATTCACTGTGTTTGTTTGGGTAAACAAAGCACACCGACCCAAGAAAGGCCATTTGGTGCTGGGAAAAGGTAAAACAGACAGACAGAAACAACAGAAGGACAGAAAAGAAGTAGGACCTACGAGTGGCGCCTTTCATCCACCCACATAACACCATCGCATCTCCAACATAATATGGACGACAAGGCTGATGCAATATTGTCGTTTCAGGGTAACGACAAGTCCCATTTCTATTCTTTACAGCTCTGTCTGAAAATTGTTCTTTATGGAGGATGATCAAATTCTGACAATTGTTTTGGAATGTGTTTAGATTTAACACCCGCTTGAACGTGTAAGGACACCAAAGTTTTAACGTCCATTGGGCAGTTGAAGAGTACATTGGAACTGACAAAGGTTTGCTTGTTTGAATAAAGAGAAGTACATCGACACAATAATGGCCATTTAGTGCTGAAAAAAGACAGGCAGGCAGAAACAACAGAAGGAAAGTAAAGAGGTAGAGCCTACCACTAGAGCCCTCCAACAAACCCGTAAAACTTAAAAAAAAAAGAAATGAGTTTGTGAGATTCTAGTGAGAGTCGAACTTGGGGCGTCAGTATGACATGTCGAATGTCTTGACCACTATAGCCAATTAACACACGTCCCTGGCTCGATTCCCTTCTATCTATCTATCTCTATCTATCTATCTGTCTGTCTGTCTGTCTGTCTGTCTGTCTGTCTGTCTGTCTGTCTGTCTGTCTGTCTGTCTGTCTGTCTGTCTGTCTGTCTGTCTGTCTGTCTGTTTGTCTATATATCTATCTATCCCCCTCCATTATCTCTCTCTCGCCTGCTTGTTCCCTTTCCCTCTCCCCAACATCCCCCCCCCCCAAACCACCCAAGCCAGATTAACTAAGATGTATAGGATACGTGAGGAAACGTTAGTCAAATGTATCTGTACAAAAAATAACAATAACAAAAATTAATTAATTTAAAGAAAAAGAGAATTCCGAGAAAGCATGACGATTTTTTCAGGAGTACAATGTAATATGCACGAAAGACATGACAATATCAAAATCAGTAAGTAAAATAAATGCTGTGCTCTGGAATGCTAAAATCTTAAATAGATGAAATCACGAAGAGAAGAAATGTCCTCTTAAAATCTGAAAGTACTTTGGCAAATATACAACATACCATTTGTTAGTTTTGCTACAAACTAACTCGATTTTCATGCTACCATGGAATATTCACTTGTTTCACATAGATAACACAATCTTCAAAGAGCAATACATGTAATAATTATGTCACAAAATTTTAATATTGTACAGCAACAGTTGTACTTCCGCAATATGGAATAAGTTGCACGTCTGCATAGCGGCATTCCATAGAAAATTAATTGCGGTTTTTTAAAATGTAAAATATTTACACACGCTCTGTAGATTGTTTCTGGTGGGTAAACTTTCTTTTACTGTCCTCAAGGAATAGCATGTCCACCTTCAATAGCCGTACCGATAGCTACAGCGGTACTTGCACACATGTACTTTCCTCAGACAGCGGTACACATTTCTTCTGAAGTTATTGCTCGTCACGACATACACTATGAAATCCACGGCAAAGTTGAGGAAATATAGGAACTGACAGATCTGCTGGGCGATCTGAAACCGAAAACTGCTGTCTGCTGAGGTGTCGCCTCCCGTAACCTGCTGCAAGATGAGACCGTACAGCCGCGCCGCGTAACTCGGGAGATAGAGTACGACGTACACGGTGGAGACACGCACCAGCATCTTCGTAGAGCGCACCTGAGCCAGGGAGAGTGTTTTATCGGCGTTGTAGTAGCGCTGACTCCCGTATAAGCTTCGGTTCATCAGGTTGTGACGTAACCGAAACTTCCGAACGGTGAATATGATGCGGAGGTTGAGGAGAAGGATCGCCAGAAAAGGAATGACGAATGTGAGGACGGAATCGATGTACGTGAATACCATGACAAAGTTGTAGAAGTCGTGGTCGACCTTACACGGCTGCCCGTTGTGTGACTCTGCAGTGGTAAAGAAACTGTGTGAATAGAGGAGAAGGGATACAGTTGTTAGTGCTGATATGAGCGTCACAGATTTGCGTCTGCTGCAGATGGTCGACGCCCTGAACGGATGGCAGACGACGATATATCTTTCCACCATCATGAGGACCACAAACCACGCGGAGAGGAAGCTACAGACATACGAGAGGTAGACCATGACGCTGCAATAGCCAGGAGCCAAGGCCAAGGTAGGGAAGAAGGTCATGAACGAGTTGATGAGCTGCGAGAGTAGAAACATTGTGTCAACAAAGGTCAAGGCCGCGAGGTACTGACTGCACGGCTGATACCGGAAGGAAGTAAAGACGAATACGAGAAAGGACGTGACGTCACCTACGATTCCCAGTCCGCATATGATGGGGACGGCGTACGTCGTGAGGCCTTTAACGGCCGACTTGAGGATTTCGGCCATCTCGCTGTTGTTAGAAGGAATTGTTTGGGTCACGTTGGCCCACGGCATGCTGGGAGAATGTGCTGAGATGTTGAGGGTGAGCAGCGTCTGGGTGTGTGTCAGTGGGTCGGACTGGGACATAATCACTTCCAATGTCCTGTTTGCATAAGTTTGAATATCCATTCGAATTAATCGCAGCAGATATTGCCAGCACAGCCGAAAAGACAGCTACGAAGTTTGCTTTGAAATGAAATTTTCCCAACATAAAAGCATTTTTATCACTTCCATAACACGCTGTCGTAAACTAAGATGTCTGGCACAAGCGTCTTGCATAGGAACTTGAAAAAAATTAGAGCAAAGTACGTTAGTGAATCCGAAATAATTTCCGTGAATATGTTGCAAACTTACTAACCGTTTATTGACAAGTGCAAACAATACTTGAAACTGGCTATTACGAATGTAAATACAAATAAAAGGTCTGGTGGCCTTACCACATTTGCAATTGTCTAGAATAGTGTATATTGTCTTTCAAAGTAACAACTGTCTCATAGTTTGAATGAATTAATTCAGCGTTAGGACAGTCGTTTGAAAGTACGTACCTGGTTGTTGATAATCATAGAGCAACATGAACTAGCAACACCACCACAGTAATTATTTCTTCAAAGAATCCTGTCAAACACGAGTACAAATCAACTGGAGCTCTTTGCGGGACTTATTCTACTTCAGTAAGTTTTCAGGTCCATTTTCGAAGAAAAAAATGATAATGACGGCGATGACTAGAATACGCCCACTCTCAGTGATAAAAATAAAGAATCACACGGCAAGACCACGGTTGATGATGAAAACACTGGCGTTAGAAATCACTACCAGGACTTGTTTATTTCAGAAGTTTGTAGATCCCGGAAATTTTATAAGTTCATTTGCTTTTTTAAATGACTTTCTCGTCTTCTCGTTTGACAAATATTTCTCTTGTAAGCAGAAATTCTTATCTTTTATCTCACACAAACGTAAGACACTACTGTAATCACTGCGCGTACAAACGTGTGATAGTTCAACCTTTCTCTTTGTGGGGCACCCAGTGTTCCTTTTTTATTACTCTTTATTTTTTGCACGTTACTGTCATAGACCACCCAAAGTCCCTGTTCCAGAGACTTCTTCTTGAGATATCTCATTTACGTTTCCCCTTTTCGTGTGTGCTGCCAGGTTCTCTCTTCCTCCTGCTTTTATCCCCCAGCTTGTGCTGACCGGTTCACGCTCGTCCACAGCCCCTCTCTCTCACTCTCTCTCTCTCTCTCCCTCTCTCTCTCTCTCTCTCTCTATCTCTGTGTGTCTCCCTCGCTCTCTTTCTCTCTCTCTCCCTCCCCCTCTCTCTCTTTCCATTCTGCGACAGACGACCGGTTCGCTCACACGTGCGACCAACTCTCTTAGGGAGTGCTGGACAGATATCCTATTTCGAACGATTCGGATCATGGAATCCTTCGTTTCCAAATAGATCTAGTAGGGTAACCCCGAACTATTTGTACATACACATTTTTATGATTTCAGATTTCAGCTAGGTTAAAGGGAGCTTGATTAATACTTAGTAACACACTTAATATCACGTCTGCCTATCTTTCTCTTCTTCTTTATTTTTGTTTACCAGTTGTATCATTTTTGTTTGTTTCAAATGTCATCAGTCAGCATACTCAGTGAGCACATGACTGTGTAGTGTGATTTGTAGCGTTATCACCACCACCCCCTCCCCCCCCCCCATACCAGATTCCTTTGTGAAATATGGCGAATCCAATACAAAAAGAATTTGGTTTGCTTAAAACTGAAAGATGCATTTCCCTTTTTTCTTTTACCTTCAATAAAAGGGTTGGCAGACAAATGGATTCGAAATTTGGGGGAAAAAAGTTGTTAAACGTAATGGAAAAAGAAAGCTACAGGCAAGGTGCAGATAATTCAAGGAAAAGCGGCACGAAGTGCTAGTAAAAGCAAATAGATGGACCGGTTTTCTGAACTGGATATCCGGACAATGAAAAAAGCGCGTGCCAGTTCTCTGTCTAGCAGCAGGGTGTTGCACGAGACGAGAAGGGAAGGAAGGGATGGCGCTAGGCTAGTAGTAGCGTTAGCGCTTGAGTTCCGCGCGCTGTCTTTCAGTTCCAGAGAAACAGCTGAGGCCAACGACTCACGTACAAACAGGCGAGCCATATAGTATCTGGTTCAGCTCTGCCGCAAGCTGACAAAAGGCGTAAAAAAAAAAAATCACGGCAGTTTCGGGAAAGAGGGGTTATTTTTTGTCAGCGTAATCATTTCATAAAGGTGTTTTTCCGGAATTTGAATTTGAATTTATTCGAAAACTAGATCTAGTAGCAGTTTGATTTGATTTTTTTTTTTTTTACTCAAGTAGGATATCTGATCAAGCCTCGGACTTAGCAAATTTAAAAAAAATGGTGCAAAAATGAAAAAAGGTGTTTTGTCAGCTTACGGCAGAGCTGTCAGAGTGGTGAACCTCAGTGTGGGCAAAACTAGTTCAAAGCTCCAGCAGGAACGATTTTGAACTGCGGTTGATTTTTGATAAGTTAATGTGTATGTGTATAAAACTAGTCTGTCCAGGTTCTGATATTTATAAATGTACACACACACACACACACACACACACACACACACACACACACACACACACACACAAACAAACACTCACACACACACACACATTCACACCCACACCCACACACACACGCACGCGCGCGCGCGCGCACACACACACACACGCGGTATTAAGTACTCATTAAAAAGAAAGCCTAAAAAACACTCGAATATTTGTATTCCTCCCCATCTTTATGCTAGGCGAAAATTTCTCCCCATCCTCCACTCTCTCTCCCTCTCCCTTTTACTCTCTTTCTGTCTCTTTCTCTTTAAGGTCTAGAACTAGTTGGGTATAGAAAGACGTAGATGATCTTTCACGCCCCGTTTTACACAATTCAGATCATGTAGGTGCCTGGCTTTTGACTGTGCATGTCAGGAGCAACCTCGACTGAGACAGATACAACATCCTAACAGAAAGACCAAGATACTTAAAAATATCTCCTCACTCGAGAATCGAACTCTGGAGTCGTGGGTGGTTGGCGGGGGCCCTAGCGTCAGTTTCTCCATTTTTCCTATCAAATATATATCGTCCTTATCTCTCTTCCTTCTTTCATTGTGTTTATTACTCTCTTGTAACACCTCTAATCGTCGACAGATACATAACCTACTTGTGTTGCAAGTGCCATAAAACTCTTACTAAAGGGAAAAAATGTGTTTGTTACTGTCTCGTAACACCTCTTATCTTCGGCCTTTATATGACCTAACTGTGTTGCAAGTGCCGTAGAACGCAAGAACCCGGCTCTCTTGCGTACAACAACAGAACGTTAAACCGCTACATCACAGACCCCAGTCTCTTGAGTTTGTAGTATTTGTTTTAGTAAGTTTTACGCACTTGCAACACAAGCAGGTCATATAAGTACCAAAGATTAAAGGTACTACAGCAGCGTAACGAAATATCTTTTGAAAAGAAAGAGAAGGAAAGATAAGGACTATAGAAGGTTTTTTAAAGTAAGAATTTTACCTAAGTTTTGCCGAAGATTAGGGGTTACAAGAGTATCAACAACAAAAAAAAAAAAAAAAAAAAAGAGAAAAAAGGAGGAGAGATCAGGACGATATATAATTGATAGAAATGAAGGTGCAAACTACACCAAAGCACCCGCCTACCACCCACCGTATCTTGAGTTCGTGCTATGCTTGTTCACCGACGTGCAGATAGGAGAAAAAGCTTATATGCACGAGCTTTCTTGTTGCTTGTGAATGAGTGAGTGTAGCAGACTGAAAAACGTAGAGGGGAAAAAGTCATAAAGTGGTAGTGCCAACGACTCACATTGTCGTTGTGGCCCCAGGCCAGAATGTGTCGACAACTCGGCAACTTGGCCCATCCCACGCTGCTTCATGTTCCCGCCACCGCTGGGAATTACGCCGTGGGGGCAACAAGCTCAATCGATGACAACCTCTTTCCATTCATAGGAGAAGACATCAAAACAGAGAACTGCTGGTCACACACACACACACAACCACACACACACACCCACACACACACACACACACACACCCACACACACACGCGCGCGCGCGCGCGCATACACACACACACCCACACACACACACTTACTCGCACTCACGCACACTTACAGGCACACACACGCGCATGAACGCTTGTACACACACACTTGCACACACACACACGCACACGCACACACGCACACTTACATGCACACACACGCGCATGCGTGCTCGTACACACACACACACACACACACACGCACGCACACACACACACACACACACACACACACACACACATACATGCTAAGTCTACGCACTATTGTTTCAGGGTCTTAAGTACACATTTTGCAGAAATTTGCACATTTTGAAAAAAAATATACACGTTTAAAGTTTGACTCGTACATAACAATGATGACACACAAAAAAGTCACGAGGAACTTTTATCAAAAGCGTTTCATTGAGTAAAAAAAAAAAGAAAAACAAAACAAACAAAAATAAAAACTACGCATTCCACATTTATTGACAAGAAGGAAAGCGGATACCGGAAAATGTAAGAAAGAATTAGATCTATATCTTCCGGTTGTCAACGGTAGAGCGGTTTCAGGAAAACTACGAATGAGCACATGATTCTTTACGTCACGAAAGGACAGCATTCCAAAATTGAATATAGATACCGCTGAATCCGCAATCCCATTTATTTTGTGGCGTAGATTGGATCTTTACTCTGCCCGAGAGAAAATTATTTACCATTTTTGTTGGGAACTATATACAT